AAAGCTTTAAATAATTCAACAGTAAGATGTGAAAATGGCCATAGCGTGTCAGACCCAAGATCCAAGCAGTCCAACATCCTTCTGTGAAAGGGATTAGCAGCAGAAGCCGAGTGAAGGACAGGTGAGGGGAAGGGATAGATTGATTTCGTTGAAATCCCATCCCAGGCTCTGGCAGCCTCTGCTTTGAGGAGTTCCTGAGCTGGAACTTCTATCTGTACAGAAATCTGTACAGTATTTTTCTTCCATAATGAATCTAATGGCTTTTTAGGCCCGTTTGAGGCCTATACATTTGAGCAGCTTTTGGTGATTAATGTTACAAGTTAATTATGCATTCTGGAGGGGAAAAAACAAACGTATTTCCTGCCTGATGATTTGGGTTTCGATATTGTTATGAGAAATGTTCGTCTTCTTTGCTCCTTTATATCTTCTTTCAGTCTTCTCTTTTTTTTTTCCATCTTCTTTCCCGAGTACATTTAGAAAATCTCGTTGTATAAAAACTAGCCTCTAGGCTCTACCATTTCTGATTCTACCCTACTCTTTTTTGAACTAGGTGGAGCAAAAACGTGCACTGTTCAAAGTGATGGTGCATTACAGCTATATACATTGACAAAATTACATTTTTTATACTGACCTCTCTGATTCTTGGTAACTCCAACACTGACCCATCTTTTTTTCCCGCTCTGCCATTGACTGTTGTTCTTCAAGAACATTTTTCAGTGACAACCTGAAGAATGTGTCATTCCCCTTGAAAATGTTTCTTTGGGCTTTTGCAGTTTTAAATACTTGTGCTGGAACTTTTCAGAACAAATAGTTGTGGCATCTGTACAGTCTAAATTTGCTATTCTTTCTACTTTGAGTAGAGTCCTGCTCGAATGTTGTCTAACGTGGTGTGTGCCAGCCCCATTGCAAACCAGAGGTACTCTGCTCCCTAACTTTTCTCAGCGTTGCTTTGCATTAACAGCAGCTTCTTCAGATGTCGTATTTCCTACGGAGCCCTGTTAAAGTGTTGACAGCCAAATTCACTGTCGCAAGCTCCTTTTTACACATTCACTTGCAAATCCTGTTTGATTTCATCAAAGAAGGGCTGTGTGTTAAATAAGCTAGGTGCTTTTAATGGGAAAAAGCAAAAAGCAGGAAATCTTACGGTGGCCTAGCTCCCTCTACTGCTTTTACTTTTTTTTGACTGCCGCATTTCTCAATATGAGATTAACCTGTAGGCAGGTTTACTCATTATATACACCTTTACTCATTACACCTTGGCGTTGTGGGTTGAAAGGGGGCGCAGATTTGGTAAGAGGTGAATCCTCTGGTGTTCAGCTGATCCTCGAAGGTTAGAGGGACCAGGGACGGCTGCGCTCATCTCTTAACAACGGGGATACCAAATACTGTGGTAACTATAGGCCTCACTCTGGCAGTATCGGGTTCACGAACAGCCTGTCGACTGTAGGTCCAGTCGCCTTCAAAACAAGTAGTCACGTTCACAAATACTGTGATTTATCAAATGCAACATTTACAAAGCAGGTTTTGGATGTCAGTACAGGAAATTCTCTACTACAGTGTGGGGTTCTTAGCTAGTGCCTAGCATACAAATGCGCAATCATCACCCACCCAGAAGATGGGAGAGGGCTCTCACTCTTGAGGAGTTTCCTCAGGCAGTGTCCTGACCCAAGGGGAGGAAACGGGTTCAGCCTGTCAGCTGATCCAGAAGTTACAATGAAGTCTTCCCTCTCCCTTCTCCCTTCTTTTTCTCTTCCCGAGTTCCTCTTCCTACTTCTTCAGTTCCTACTATATCCCTCCTTAGTTCACCTTTTATATATTTTGTTTTACATTTAGCTTGAGAGACTCTAGTCACGCTTTCGTTATTGATAGGTTTAAAAAGTCTCCCAAGTTAATGGAAAATCCAGAGATCATGCTCAGCAAGGAGTGGTGGTTCCTTGGAGGCGGGTACTCCTGGGACGGGGTTGTGTATTGGTATCGTAATGAGATTAGCAGGAGGAGAAGTTTGAGTGAAGTCCATTGGAAGGGACTGATCTGCCACCATTGCTGGCCCATCACCAGACATCTTGTGGCTTATCAGCTGCGTGGTACGACCAGGCTGCTACCTCTGCAGGGAGTACAACAGAGTTTGGTCGTGGGGTCTTCACTCCGCTCCACCCTCCATTCACTCGTCGTTTGCACAGCACCATCAGGTCACAGCCAGTGGAGTTTGGCCCTGGTGTCTCCATTCTGCTCCACTCTCCGTTTACTCTTATTAGTGTGTGCTAGGAGGGCAGACTGTATTGCCCAGGGAATTGTGGAGAAGTAGGTTCCGCATATACCAACCATCCTGGAAGTGGTAACTGTCTCTCACCTCAAGCAAGCCTCTGTAATGCCAGAACTTCTGTTAGGCCCTAGTTTTTCTCTAATTTCCCCTTTCTTGAGCGATTCTCCCACATTTGGACATAGCAGTTTGTTGCTCTTGTTAAAACTTTGAATGGGGAAAACACTTTCTACAATTACCACTTTGCTGTGTAAATTACAGGGGAGCATGATGAGCAAAAAATCCCAGGTGTCCTTTTGAAGCTGATCTCCCCTGTGTCCCTCCGTAATGTAGCTTGGGGGACTGGTTTCCCTTAGGATGATAATGAACTGAAGGATACACTCCAGCCTAATGTCCTAAATATGCAATGGAAACTACATAAAGCCAGTCCACGTTTAATGAGACTTGATGCCTGGAGAGATTCCTCCTTCCATTTATATCTCATGGTGAAGCTTTTGCCTGCTTGTGCATATCATGGACTGCTCCAGGACCTGGTGCCTGTTCTTTGGATCTGGGCGAACTCTGCAGCCTTTCAACTCATTTGTACCACAAAGACAGGGGCATTGGCTCTGAAGTGGAAATGCTTAACAAAATGGTATCAGATTTTACATTACTGATCTTCCTTTCTCTCCTCTCCCATCTACAAGCATGTAAATCCATAAAGATTTAATGCAGAGCAAAATAATGGTATCATCTGAGTGGAATATGGCATTTCGCACTCCCTAAATTCCTAGCTCATGTGTGGATATTCTTAATAGTAAGGTTGGCTGTTCACAAGCACTTTCTAGGTGGATTAAGCAGTAGCTTTGCCAGAGTGGAACCTTTTCTTTCCTTGTTAAGACTAAATCATCATAAAGCTGCAGCTGTGTGTGCTTTATTCCTAGGTAATCGCTCGGCAGGTTTCAGAGGAGAACTTAAGGGAGGGCCGCCTGTACCCGCCCTTAGTCACCATTCGGGAGGTGTCGCTGAGAATCGCTGTGAAGGTAGGACACGCCAGGCTTTTGTGAGGTTTTTCTCCTGCTGCTCTTTACATATAAATTTAACGTTTCATTTGATGACCTGCTGTGTCTTCATACGCATCGAGCTCCATTTACATCAGACCTGGTCAAGCAGCAGGTCCTAAGTTAAACTGAGGTCCGTAGCTCTAACTGCCAGCGTAGCAGAGCGCGAGAGGGAAGGAGAGGCAGGCGGCGCGGAGCCGCCTCGGCCTCCCCGCGCTGTGGCTTATTTTTTATTGATAAATATAGAATTGATGTGAATTGATTTTAAGTAACTGACCTAAACCTGCAATTGATAAACCTGCAATTTGCCCAATAATCTGGCTGTCCTATTGGGGGGGAGTTAAAGCTTTAAAGTACTTAAACCCCCAAATCCTCCCTCTTCTGGTGGATATTTTTTTAAATTATTTTTATAGGCTTATTTTGTTCATCTCTCAGGATTATTTTTTGCTGTCTTTCTTGGATTATTCCCTTAGTCACCTACTATAATTCAATTTATTGAATATTCTTTTGAAAGAACAATGACCATCTCTCATGCATGAAAAAGTTCCCTTAGTTTTATTCGTTCTGTGTATTTAAAAAAAGTCCTTCTTGCAGTTAATATTTTTGTTTTACTTGGGTAATAAACTCTGTTCTGCAGAAGTCAAAATATTCCCTGCATTCCTCACACTGCATCAGACCACCTGTGCTTGGCAGAGAAACAGCAGCAGAGGCTCTGTCTCTGTTGACTCTGACAAGGTTATTTGTATGTGTGTACATATAATACAAATAAAAAAAAAGGAAAAGGTTAACAAGTAATTCTTCATAGATGTATGTATGGGTTGTGTGTATATACACACAAAATATTTTCTCCACCCATTTCAAGAATCAAATCTGTTTACTGTGTAGGTTCATTTTTTTTTTCTTCTGAGTTTACCTCGGAACTAGTAAGTTTCTCTCATACAGGGCGCACAGCAGCTGTAAACAAATCACATTTTCTTACTGTGCTATGAACATGGCAAATCTGAGTAAACTGGTGGCAGAACAGCAGAAATCCTATCTCAGTGCTTGGGAGTTGTGGAATATTTTAGCCACTGCTGCATGACAAAATCAAAGATATTAGTGGATGAGGAGAGCACTGAACAAGTCACTGTGTTTAAGGTAGTCTGACTCATGCTACTTTTGAAAGTGATTTCATGAGTGAGACTAACTTAAATGGATGCAAACATCACCCTATTCCTAATCTTACACTATCCCCGATTCAGTGTAAATCTAGGTAAATCCTCTGGCTGGCAACACCAGAGAAGGTGAAGTCTTGCACTGATTTAAACCCAGCTCCTGCTCAGACCCTGTTAAATGCACTGGAGGACTTTACTGGGACTAATGAGGAATGTAACGTGTCGTTGCAGATCGCAGAAGAAGCCTATAGGAAGGGCACTGCCTCCTTGTACCCCCAGCCCAGGGACCTGACGGCCTTCATCCGCTCCCAGGTTTACTGCACCGACTACAACAGCTTCACGGCCGACTCCTACACCTGGCCCGAAGAAGCCATGTGCAAACTGTAAATATTTAGTTGGCAATGAACAAACGAGCAGCAGTTAAAATCATTAAAATGATTGGAATATTTCTGCCTAGTAAACTTAAGAATAGTTAATTTTTTAAGATATGCAGAAACTTTTTCTAAATTGTAATACTTGATTAGAAGCTCAGATTATGGAGTCATTAGTTATACTGGAGAAAATAAAATTAATCTGAGAAGTGGATTTGTGTTGTTCATTTTTTGATTATTATTTTACCTCAGATATCCTCCATTAAAGTCTTAACAGATCTTTTTGTAATCAAAATAAATGGTTGTAACTTAACTTTTTGCCAAAAAACATCAATGAGAACAATACTAGGCTTAATCAAATGATATATAGGAAAATAATCTAAGAAATATTTATGAGCACTGTTTAAACCATTAAAGGTCACAGTGTAACCCATGGTTTCCCTTGGATACAGCTGACCAGACTCTGGGCAGCCATTTCCCCTGCTAGAAAAAGAAATAAATGCAAACACCAGAGCTTTTGCCAGCTCTGCCTCTGAACTGCTGGACCATCCTCCCACGGAGCCTTCCTGACCTGGTCCGGCAGCCGTGCCTTGCACATTCCCTCCTGCTGGAAGTCTCAGGGATAAGGCCTCTATCTAAAGCTGTTTTGCTACTTCTCACTGAGGCTGAAAGTAAATTAGTTTATTGGGGCTATAAAACTTGGGTCATGTGGAATATGGAGAATTCTTTTAAGCAGAATTACTGTTACTCTATGAAAAGTGTAACATTCACTTCCAGGAACAAAAGGCAGTTGCAGTTTTTATTTTTTTTTAAACTATCATGCTTCAGCATTACTTCTACAAAACCAAAATTTGTTTTTATTTTCCAGCTCCTCAGTTCTCTCATGGCTACAGACTGCAGGTGTTAACTCCATAGACACTTTTCCCTCATTACATGATAAGAAATTGTCAGCATTTTTTGTCATATTTTACTTTTTTATAATGCTGCCCAAAATTATGGCCACGTAAACAATACTCATACTTACCACAATAAGGTATATCAATCATTCCGAACAAACTGAAATTTTGTCATCACCTGTCTTCCAATATGTTGCTATTATGAAAAAAGTATTAAAATACTTTCTTGTATTTTATTTAAAATAAAAGATATCTCTGCTATTAATTCTGCAGTGTTTGAAATACAGTCTTTAAATAGATGCTGTCCACGTGGTCTGATTTTTAGACTAGAGCAGCCCCAACCTCTACAGCTTGCCCGTTACAGCTGCTCTTTAGCTCTGTTTTCACCTTATTGTGCTCCTGGAATAATCATCTCAGTACCAACTTGACATAGGAAAGACTGTAAAGTTGTATGCATATTTATTTACTATACAAGGAAAAGAGACAATATTAAGCTTACGTTTATTATGTGTCCTCTTAAATGCTTTCATTTCCAAGGTGAAATATATAGGCCTAGCAATATCTACATGAAATGTCATAAGCTGAGCAGCTGAAAAGTCGCTAGACTACAATGAGGTGGCAGGAAGAGCAATGAGCAGCTGAAAAGTCGCTATTAACAAAACCAGACTACAATGAGGTGGCAGGAAGAGCAGCTGGAAAATGATGGTCAGTAATGACTATATATAGGTACTACCCAGGGCATATAAGTGACAGCTAATGTGGGATTCCCGCCCACTCCTTTGTTTAAAAGCAAAGCTTATTGTATAGGTACTACCCACGGCATATAAGTGACAGGCTAGTGTGGGATTCCCACCCACTCCTTTGTTTAAAAGCAAAGCTTGATGTGGTTGGGCAGTCTTTGCACTTCACTGAAAGAAGTGAGAGCACAAAACACTGTATGAAATAAATCTTGGGTGAGATTTACTTACATGAGTAAGATTTCTTGGAGCAGGATATGCTTTTGTACTGGTAACCATGCTGATCTGTGATAGCGGCCACTTCAGTTGCCCATAACTCTATGCAGAAGTTGTTTACAGGCCTGCACCACACATTGCTTTTATACAGAGTAATGTATATGAGGAGACAGAATTATGTAATTTAGAAAACTGAACTGTAAGATTTTTATCATCTGCAACCACTTACTTGAGATGTAGCTCAGAGAGGGTAATGCTGATTGCAGGGTCTCAGAAAATAAACAAACATTCTCAAACATATGTAGCAATTCAGAACAGAAACCAAGATTAACTCCTTGAACTGCATTCCTTGTCTCTTGAACAGTTTCCCTTTTCGCAGTAGCTGTAAGGCACAGAATTTCAATGCTTACTTCATTACCTGCTGTCCAAAATTGAAACTCCTTTACACGGTTTCTCTTACTTGTTTGAAAGTTTGCCTTCGACACCAAATAAAATCTGAAAAATATGTCCACTCTGATGTTGTTCCAGGAATTCTCGGAACTGGCCCAGATCCATGTGATAGTCATTCCTCAGGCCATAATCACCATGTGCCTGAAACTGCAGGTCTTCAAAAGCAGGAAAGAGACGAAGACTATCAATGTTGCCCCCAGTTTCTATACTCTCCACATGCTTGCATGAAATATGCTTCCAATTGGGGTACCTAATGACACGCCAGAACTCATCACAGTTCTCTCTGATGCCCTCCACACAGATCACACCAGGTTTTCCTGTTAGGCAGAAGCCAGTCAGATTTAACTTCTTTGCACACTCAAAAATCTTCTTTCTCAATTCCTGCCTATATATGTGGTGGCTGTAGATCCACATGCGATGAAACGTTTCTTTAAATCCTTCTTCCTTCGAAGGACCTCCAGAAGGGAGCTGATGGTTTTGGAAGTAGGGCAGGCTGTTGTCCTTCACCCACTGCACAGCCGCACACACGCAGAGCTCCCCCGCGTCCACAGAGCTCATGTGGGAAGCGAGGCCAGTGTTGAGCTGCAGCTGCTGCTGCCTGTTCAGCACATCCGATCTGGCAAAAAGTTGAGGGGCTACATGAGGATAGAGGTGAGGCAACAGCACCTGCAGTTCTACTTTTGCCTTAAAAACACAATACACAACATACATACACACAAAAGGAAATGAGTTCTGCAGTTAAATACATTCTAGTTCCTTCTTTCCTGACAGATTATGAGATGTAATTAAAATTGCCCCACCTCAAAGACTGGAGTTACTTCTTGTGTTCATTTGTCCAAATAACCTATTATTTTACCAGTTCCTTTTATTGCACTTTGCTGGGCCTTTCCCAACATACCTACTATTATCAAGGCTGATCCCTTCCGCTGTGTTTCCTGGGATAATGCTGTGGCTTGACAGAAGCTGGATAGATATTCGCAAGGGATATTTCTACTGTATGTTCCCTGGGCTGCACTCAGTGTTGCATCAAAAGCAAATGACCAGACTGGCAAAGTGGCAAGTGGCTTTTGAGAATCTTCTCCCTTACCAAAATGGCATACGATCAATAAACTCACAGTTTAACTCACAATAAACTCACAATAAATCACAGTTGTGGGATGACCAGCTATCCCAGGAAGGAAAATGGGGACAAGAGTTAGATGGAAAACATATTGCATATTGTTATTATTTTGAACAAGTATTCACCCTAATGGAAGAAGTGCTCTCAGGATTACATGCAGATCAGTCTGGTTTTAGGAATGCCTTTTAGGAATGGAAACCTCTCAATTATCTACCCTGATTTCTTCCTAGATCCTACATGGGCTGTTGGATTCCTCTTGATGATTTCTATGGTGTAGAAACTGAACTCCATCTGAGGTACACAAAATAGAAGGAGATTCATGTGCCCTCAGGGCTTGAGGCTCTTATTTACCATTAGGGGACTTCCACTAAGTTATATAAACATATGATTAGTCCTGCAGAGAGAACTGAATCATGAAATGACTCATTATTTTCCCAAGTTTCTTGGGAATGTCATGGGTAAAAAACAATCTTACAACATAAGCCCTTCATACACAGTTGACTGAACTTCTCTTTGAAGGCTGGGTACATTTTAGGTGGATGCCTACCCTAATGGCTGTTTTCTGTGCACGTATTTATACCACTTACACTGAAAACAAACAAACAAACAAACTAAAAAACTTAGCCATGACAACTAAGGCAAGTTAATAGAACTCATTAGACTTTTAAATGTTGTGTCCCATTTCTACAGCTAGTTTTAATGCTTGTTTAACTCTTCTTAACAGCATTACACCATTTTAGAATATTTCTACATCAGTTTTTTCAAACTATAATTCAACAAATCAATGAAAGTATGCATGACGAAGGGCAGGTGAGAGAAATGTTAGGGTGGTTTTATTAAAGTGCAACGTATTTATTTACATGAGCAATACTATTAGCCTTTCTTGCCCAGAGAAAGTTAAGACTCAAATAATTAAATATTTTTTTTTGCTTTTAGCTTTTAAAATAGCAAATATAAAGGAAAGGGGAAAAAAAAGTATTTTCTAGAGCAGAGTTGGGGGGAAATCTTGTGTCTTTAAGAGTCTGCACTAGCAGTAAAGAAGACAACACAAATGAACACCTCTAAGTGTAACCTCTCACCTTGGACTCCCCCACATCAACAGCAACTGAATACTCGAGCTGGGGGGGCAGAGCAGCTTCGGAGCTTCTCAGGTAGCGCTGCACTCGAGGCACAGCATCCTCGTCATGCACTTTTATTTCCCCTTCCTTAGGAAACATTGAGAGGAGCATTTCCACTTCCAGGAGCTGCAGCTCGAGACACTCCTTTATTGTAGCAGCCATCGCACACCTGGAACGAGAAGCCAAACCCCACGGTTCAAATCACAACGAGGTTTAACAGCCACAACACCACACTGTGCTACTGAATAAGTCGGCTTCAGCAGGGAACCCTCTGTGTTTTTTGTTTTTCTCCGACAGCCAGAGGTTGCCTCCAAACTGTCGCACAACACACAGTATTTTCACTTTGGTCGCATTTGAGGGTTTTTTCCCCCCTAAAACCACAAACGCTGGAGTTTTGTCACTGAGAAGGCGCCCCCGCTGGTGCCAGGGGGCAGGAATAACGCCGAGCTGTGAGCAGCCCTGCCAATCCCCAGCGTGTATATATACATGTACATATATATATATGCGTATGTATGTATACACGCACACCTGCACACACATATAATATATATAGGTATACAAACACATACATACAGCTCGCCCCGATTTCTGCTCACACCGGGAGGTGTCACTGTCGCAACGGCCGCCGGGCGCCCGGGGGCGGCCGTTGGAGGGGGCGGTGGCCGCCCGGCGCCACGTGGCGGCTGCGCGTGCGCCGTTGGAGTC